TAAGTAAGCTCAACAGCCTGAACCTTGTCTAAGCCCCATCGGCATCTCCGACGGGACTTGAATACACCAGCCGTGAGACACGGACATGCGTCTGGCAAGTCGGGTGTGTAGTTGACGGCCAGGCTGATCTCTTTTCGCCTCTTAAATCGTGTGGATCGTGCATTTCAGCGGCTCATCTGCACTTTCTCAGTTGGTGTCAAGGCAGAAAATGCATTTGGCGGCAGCGCGGCACATTTACGACAAATCAAGCCTAGCTTCAGTTCGACAACCACTTCGCTCCGGCCTACAATGCACGCCGGCTCGTGAAGAAGCCAAATTCATCAGAAATGGTAGAGGGTGACTGGGTTCTGATAACGTCTTAGGTCGAGTTAATCAGCTCCAACATTTCTGTCTGGCAAGTGGGTGTAGTCGCGGTGCGAGGTTAGCCACACTTAAAGACGAATGTGTGGTTAAACGTTGGTTGTGTTCATGATAAGGCAAGAATCATAACGAATAAAAAGCCTAGGGGAAATAAAATTCGGCGACTGAGACGATAGAGCCAATGCACAAGAGCGTACCAACCGCGGGGTGAAGAGGGCAAAACGCAAAGAAAGCTTGTGCACTGAATCTTCGTCACCCCACCCCTTCGTTCACTCGTGATACCGGAGGGTCGGATGTGTCGGCCAGCCTTAGAAACGCGTCGACCATATCTCCACATGCACACAGGCCCTAATGTCTCCTTGTCATATCTCACCTTCGCCTCGTATGGTCCAGCTGGGTCCATGTGAATTTTTGTAGGCCTGCCTAATCACGTGTCTATGTGCCCACATTCAAGTGATTGTTTGTCTGTATTTTGCTATGCGACTGGGCGAATAACTATCCTTTGGGTCTATAGGCCTGAGTGTGGCCGACGCACACAAGCACCGACATACACAAGCATGCATTCTCTCACACACAGCCACTCAATCTTTGTTACCCCACCCCTTCATTCACTCATGATACCGGAGAGTCGCATGTGTCTATGCAACGCACTCATAAATTATCATCGTCCACTCCTCCACTCGCGTCCACAGTCTCCGTCCTACCGAGGAAGTCTTATCCAATCGGCCCAGTTTCACACATTTGCCCCATCGTTTGTCGCCCCGAGCTCTTCGCGTCAGATTGGCTTGCTTCACGTACGTCTTCGGGACATAGTGATGCGGATAATCCTACATTGTACCGTAGTTATTATGACGTCACTCACCGAAATGATGCCTTTTCTAGCCGTCAGGTCAAGAAAGCCTCTTTTCAACTCTATGTTTGTCGCTTCTGCCCTCACGTACCCTCTCCTTTCATCATCCGTTAGCTCTCCTCCCAATTATTCCAAGTGAATATGACTTCGATGCTGTCAGTAGATTTTGAAGAAGAGTTTTCGTCACCCTAGGCGGCTTAAGGTAATTGAAGATCGCCGAAGGAATCGTAGTAAAATTCCCCGCAATGATATTAGCAAGCCTAGCATTTTCATTCAATTTCACATTTCCACGCTTAACCAAGAAAGTATTCTCATCAAAACTGGACTTCAGTTTCGACATCGTATAGGGCTCACAGAAACCCCGGCCAGAATCGAAACCTATTTTCTCGGAATATAAATAATGCAAGTTTACATGAGATACATCCACCCTATTCCGTTTGAGCTGATAGGGGGACTGATAGTTGAATACTTCCCACAATTATGAGTCGAACTTACGTTTCCATTCAATTTCTCATCCGGATAGGATAAGACTGCAGTTTCGACCTCGCATTGGTCGCATCAGCACTCGCAGTGGGACTCGAACGATGACGCTTAAGTGTATAATCTCGACTCGTTAATCACTATGCCACACTGCCTCGAGTGACCTTGGGTCACAGGGCAGATGTGAATTTTAGAGAAGGCCAGGAAATGTTTATGAAACAAAGTTGTATTTGCCATAGAAATATACTATATTACTTATTTTCGAGACTATCATATCCGAGATGCATTTGCCATCGTTCGATTAAGGTGATAAAGGACTGGTGGACGAATGTTTCCCACAATGACATCAGTAGGCCTTACGCTTATATGTGATTGCACGTTGCCTTGTAAACGACAAGTTTGCACAGTCTTGCAATTAAAAATGTGATATGAGAGTGGCCTGGTATCACATGGAATTTACGTTTGCTCGGTGATTGAGGTACACTCATGGCTGTGTGGCGTTTTATTAGCATTTCGAGATTGTACGCTGCACTACCACAACCCGGGTTCGAATCCCTCTTCGGGGGCTGCTGAAGCCTAGGCAAGGTGAAAATTGCAGCCTGCTCTTGCGTGAACAAGAAGTCCTTTTGCAAAGCAAGGCTATGTGAACTGCATTAGAAACGAGAGGCTCGTTGGAAAATGTAATTATCAGTCCTTAATCACATGCGACTAGAGTCTATATGTTTCGAGACTGCCAGAACTTCAGTTATATGAATCTATGTCATATGAATAAAGGCTTTATCCGTCCCTTTGCAGATTTGTATAGTGAGATTTTCGCTGAAGCAACCATTCCTAATGCTTCTGTCCTTTCCGCTTTTCTCGTTTCCTTCACCATTCGCAGGACAGATCCATACATCAGTCCTTCCCTCCAGTTCATCTTTATAGAAGCATAAGGAGGCATGTTATTTTCCTTTGATGGGCTCTTTTGCTGAGGCTTACTCGAGTATCCCCCCCCTTTAAGGTCTGTGCTGGCAAATAGCAAAACAAATGAATAAATAAATAAATGCAAATATGAATATGGCATCTTAATCTACCCCGTCCTCTTTTTCAGCCTACGTTGATCCACATTTATTCAAACACATTTTTGCTTGGTCCCGGATACGCAGGCTCTCGGGTGAGTCTCGATTTTCTCATCGGCTGCTGTTATAAGCTCTTTTCATCACATCGTAACCACTGGCCTATCTACCCATCGGCACAACAGTCTAAGTAATCATACAACTTAAACGAAGTAGGGTGAATACATCTCAATACAACTTATTGTCTATTAGCCAAGCTGCCTATTCGCTTCTATGCCGAAAGGATTGTAAGCCACAAGAGTCTCGATTCTCATTTAGTCATGTGTAGGAGTACCTTGTTACACAAACATGCATACTGTCATGTATTTTGTCGTTACTACCTTATTTAACTCGTGGATATGAAGACTAAGTTAGTGTGGCTGCAGTTTCCTTTGGATGCTTAGAGTTGGTTTGACTTCGTTTTTGCGAATTGGTGGCGGTGTAAGGGCGACATTGAAGAACGTATCAAATCCTACGTACAGAGCATTAACTTGGTACATTGACAGACATTCGATGCGAAATTTCGGCTTTAGCACCGAGCTACATTTAGTTATAGCAACAAGTAAAGTTGGTCAAGGAGATTGACTTTATGCGAAGAAAATTTGGGTTTCGAGGAATCTATTGTTTCATAATTGTTGAGCTTAATTCCATTTCGAATGAAAGTTTTGGGTGAAGAGATTAGAAGGCCAGTTCCACCATAAAACGACGGCGGATTCCTCTTGACCAGCTGTCGATTGGCTTTACTGGAAGATTCATACTGACGCTGTTT